AGTAAGTAGGGTGTTCCTTGTCTATGGTCCACAGATAATATAAGATATTAAGTATTCTATCATTTCAGCAAAATAACTCTGTCTGTGGACCATGGACAAGACTTCATTTTTTCATTTTTTAGCTTATATTTTATTTTATTTTTATTCTTTGATTATATAACGTGTTCTGCGCAAGAATAAATGGTTTTTCTTTCTTTCTTCTTCCTTACTATAATAAATATAAATGGCGCTGTATGTTATTTAAAACAAATCAACGAATTAACCCAATAATTGAAAATCTCACGCTTTAATCTATAGCGCGGCCTACACTTATTCAGTGCACTTTCCGACCCATTTATTTGCTGTTTTATAAATCCATGAATTCCTAATAGGTATCTATGTAGTAGTTACGCTACTTAGCGATAGATGGCGCTGGGTGTCTGAAAAACTTAGTGGATAACAAAAATATTGGTATGGTAGATGGCGCTGTGTGTAATGTTATAAATGGCGCTGTATGTCATTTAAAACCAGTCGACGAATTACCCACTAATTGGAAATCTCACGCTTTAATCTAAAGCGCTGCCTACACTTATTCTGTGCACTTTCCGACTCATTTATTTGCTGTTTTATAAGTCAACGAATTACTAATTATTACTAATTGATATCTATATACTGTATATAATAGTTACCCAACTTAGCGATAGATGGCGCTGACTTTTTATATAACTTGGTAACGTTGTATTTTTTAAGTATTTTTCGCTTTAAAATTTTGGTTCATACCATTTAACATTAAATTTTGTATTTTATATATATTATAGGTTGTTAAAGGTACCTATTCGGTGCACTTTTCGACTCATTATTTATTGTTTTATAACTTAACGAATTTCTAATTTGTATCTATGTAGTAGTTACGCTACTTAGCGATAGATGGCGCTGGGTATATTAAAAACTTAGTAACGTTGTGTTTTTTAGGTATTTTTTCCTACCATATACATTAAATTGTATGTTTTATAGATTTTAGGTTGTTAAAGGTACCTATTCGGTGCACTTTTCGACTCATTTATTTGCTGTTTTATAAATCAACGAATTACTAATTGGTATCTATGTAGTAGTTACGCTACTTAACGATAGATGGCGCCGAGTGTCTAAAAACGTAGTAATGTTGTGTTTTTTAATTTTTTGTCGCTTTTAAATCTTGGTTCCTACCATTTAACATTAAATTGTGCATTTTATATATATATATTATAGGTTGTTAGAGGTGATTCGGTGCACTTTTCGACTCAATTATTTGCTGTTTTATTAGTTAACGAATTACTAACCGTTATCTATATAGTAGTTACACTACTTAGCGATAGATGACGCTGGGTGATTTTTTAAAGTTGATAACGTTGTGTTTTTTAAGTAATTTTCGCTTTTAAATTTTGGTTACTACATTTTAACATTAAATTTTGTATTTTATATATATTATAGGTTGTTAAAGGTACCTATTCGGTGCACTTTTCGACTCATTATTTATTGTTTTATAACTTAACGAATTTCTAATTTGTATCTATGTAGTAGTTACGCTACTTAGCGATAGATGGCGCTGGGTATATTAAAAACTTAGTAACGTTGTGTTTTTTAGGTATTTTTTCCTACCATATACATTAAATTGTATGTTTTATAGATTTTAGGTTGTTAAAGGTACCTATTCGGTGCACTTTTCGACTCAATTATTTGCTGTTTTATAAATCAACGAATTACTAATTGGTATCTATGAAGTAGTTACGCTACTTAGCGATAGATGGCGCTGAGTGTTTATAAACTTGGTTACATTGTTTTTTAATATTTTTTCGCTTTTAAATCTTGGTTCCTACCATTTAACATTAAATTGTGTATTTAATATATTATAGGTTGTCAAAGGTACCTATTCGGTGCACTTTTCGACTCATTTATTTGCTGTTTTATAAATCAACGAATTACTAATTGGTATCTATGAAGCAGTTACGCTACTTAGCGAGAGGTGGCGCTGATTGTTTATAAACTTGGTAACATTGTGTTTTTTAATTTTTTTTGCTTTTAAATCTTGGTTCCTACCATTTAACATTAAATTGTGTATTTTATATATTATAGGTTGTTAAAGGTACCTATTCGGTGCACTATTTGACTCATTTATTAGCTGTTGTATAAATGAACGAATTACTAATTGGTATCTATGTAGTAGTTACGCTACTTAGCGATAGATGGCGCTGATTGTTTAAAAACTTAGTAACGTTGTGTTTTTTTAAGTTTGTTTTGCTTTAAAATCTTGGTTCCTACAATTTAACATTAAATTGTGTATATTATATATGATAGGTTATTAAAGGTACCTATTCGGTGCACTTTTCGACTTAATTATTTGCTGTTTTATTAGTTAACGAATTACCAACTGTTATCTACATAGTAGTTACACTACTTAGCGATAGATGGCACTGAGTATTTTAAAAACTTGGTAACGTTGTGTTTTTTAAGTATTTTTTCTACCATATACATTAAATTGTGTATTTTATTATAGATTTTAAGTTATTAAAGGCACGAAATCATAGCGTAAACAATACTTACTCAACAATTTTAGCAAGTAAATCGTACGCTGTTGTTTCAACGCTCGATAGATGGCGCTAGGAAAGGTTTATGTAGAATTTGGGTATGAAGGTAGTTTGAGTCCTGGAAAATCCAGGCTTTACCGCGGCAGGACTTCTCATTCCCACGGGAAAATCTAAAAAGGGCGATTTAACCGAATTACACGCGAGCGAAAAGCTATTTGTTTGTTTTCCTGTCAAACGGAGCTACTGATTAACGTGACTTTTTAACTGACTTCTACCTGATTTCTAACTGAGTTGAAGGGATGGATAGTCATATAGGCTATATTTTATCCTTTTGTGACGCGAGCGAGCCGCGGGTAAGAGCTAGTCATTAACTATTTTTCAAATTATTAACCCAAGAAAAGCTGGTCAGATTTTCATAGTACCCATTAAACTGTCAAACACCAAGCGGTCACCGGTGACCGCGACCTATTGTTCTTTAATTGTGTCTATAAAACCGGTACTCGACGAGTTAAGTAACATTGTTGGAATCGTCGATCTAAACAACGTAGACAAGAAAAATAAAAAAAAATTATAAGATATTGGTACTTTTTTTTCAACTCCTGATTACTGCTTCCAATCCTGGGTTGTATGTAAGAAATCGCATTCTGCGATAAGACTGCCCATTGTACACATTTTTACGATAAAGTGTAAAATAAATAATACCTACTTTTTTCCATAGAATCAAAGCTGTGTTTGCTGTGTTTGAGAAGAAGAACCTTTTTTGTTTTTATTTTTTATATAAAACTATGCCCCACAATAGGATTTTCTCTTGTGCCGTGGGTGCGTCAAACATACAACTTCACATACACATGACACCCAGGCCGGGACAGCAATCTGTGGATCACACAGAGTTGTTCCGTGCGGGAATCGAACCCGCGAATCGTTGTGCAGCAGCCAATTGCCCAGATACCGCGCCAACTGTGCCGCCTATACCTATACCTATAATACAAAGTAATATTATGTTGTAAGTATGTATCTCCAGTGGAAATTTTGCCAAAATAACGCGCGGTAGAGTTTTCTCATATCGTTAATTAGTTTGGCGTAGTTTATTACTTCTCTGCCGGTGACTTATTTGACGCCTTGTGACAAACAACGTATTACATTGTGTTCACTTATGAATATTACTTGATAAGTTTCGCCTGAAAGCTTTCCAGTTCGACATTATATTAGCTAGCGGGCGAGAATACATAATCAACATTCATCACCTATAATCTTGTCGTGGGTATCATAATAGCTGGTTTAGGAACACTTGTAATTGACTGATCAATAAGCACATGTTGATAATTTTTATGGCATAAGCCAGTAAACGAGCAGACGGATCACCTGATCGTAAATAGTCGAGTTCACCCATGGACACCTGGAACCCCCTTTGGGGGTTAGGAATTTGAGGATTGTTGAGGATTCGGGTATTGGGGAGATTAAGACATTTGTTATAAAAACGTTGCCCCAAACTAGAATTTTTTTTGGGGATGCGTTTACAAACATATAAGTTCACATACACATGACACCCAGACCTGAAACCGCAAACTGGAAGATTCGATTCCCGCATGTACCAACTCTTTAGAGTTGGTACATGCCGAATCTTCTACTCGTTGCGCTGCAGCCAGTTGCTCAGCAACCACGCCAAACATGCAGTCTATAGGTACTGAAACAGACATGAAAATAAAAAATATTATATCTAAAACAAACCTATGTTGACACAATCAAAGCTAGCCCACCCATCCATAAGTCAGCCTCCATAATTCCAACTGCACTTCTCGGTTCAATAACATAAAATCTAACACTAATAATTTGAGTGGCGTCGCTTCAGAGACCAGTTTCTCTGACATAGCACTATCTGGCATTAAGCCAGGGAGGTAAAATCATACATTTCCAACCTCTTTACTCTGAACGGGAACGCATCCGAATGACTTAACAGAGGTAGATTCGTAAAGAAAATCGGACTAGTTATTCTTTGGACAGTGAATACAGGTTGTTGTTTATCTGTAGTTGGACTATTATGAGATGTGTATATTATTATATATAACATCACGCCTTTTATCCAGAAGGGGTAGGCAGAGGTGCAAGGTGCAATACTTAATACCACTATACAATGTAACACCCAATTTTTACTATTAATACGGGGTGAGCTTACTGCCATATACCGGGCACAGTTTCAGACTCCGTGCTACTATTGAGATATTTATTTAAAACCCAGTAGAACTTTGCCTGAACCCGGGAATGAACCCAAGACCCCTTTTCCGAGTCGCACTTGCGGCCACTCGGCCAACGAGACAGTCTACCTAACCTAACCTAGTCTAAAAGAGAATATACCAGTATTACACTATTATCCCTGAACTTGCTGAAATCCTGAAAATCAAACATTATAACCCTCTCCATCAGTCGCCAACTTTGTCCAAGCCAATAACAGTTACTTGCCTACTTTAAACCTCTGAAATATAAAATGAGAGAGACAGTAACGTGCTACATTCAACACTATTAGGATTTCAGACCTGGCTCCTTTTACCGACCGAGGGAAATCCTATCTGCTGTAATGCAGGTTTTGAGACCAATGGTAAAAACTATTTAGGTTTTCGAATACGGAGATAGGACTTCCAAGTTGTAATGATAGTTCCAATTTTGTCACAATGCTGCAATGGTTTTATATTTCATTTCGTTTGTTGTTCCAATTTTAAAAGTGGATCCTTGTTTTTTTTTCTACATTTTTGACAAGAGTTATCGATTATTCGGTCACTGACAAGAAAAACATATTTTAACATGTCAGACTTCGAAATTTTCAGTGACAAACTATAACAACAATAATCAAATAATAGAAGGAGCATGACATGGCATTGTATGCTCAAAAAATAATTTAGATCATTATTCAATATGAACACATATTTCTATACATATATGTGCGATTGTGGCAAGGCAGAATGACTGACTGCACGGTTGGTGCGGTGGCTGGGCAACTGGCTGCCGCGCAACATGTCAAACGTGTCTTTAAATCTTGTTCAGTTTCTCAACTGATTTCAAAAAAATACACGACTCATTTTTGATTATTCAAAAATTAATTTTATACCACCATCGCAATTCTTTTATCAAAATATGACAGGCATTTTATACCCAAAATTTCAGTTAATCCTTACCCACACGTACTGCAACTAACTACATTGACTATGTTAGAACAAAAATTCCTACATTACATAATTTTCGAGCCGAGTCAGAGTTCACAGTTTGTTGACTGAAGAGATTCACTCGTATAGGGTAAAGGTACTTGTTACCGTCCACTAATTTTATGGCATATCGTCCAATAATAATCGTTACTAGTCGTTACTTCGTTATCGTTACTAGTCGTTACTAGTCGTTTCTAATGTTATAAATCAGAAAGTGAGTTTGCTTGTTTGTTTGTTCCGCTTTCACGCCGTAACTACTAAACCAATTGCTTTAAAATTTTGCAGACGTAAAGTTAGAAATCTGGATTAAATAAGAGGATAATTTTTATCCCGGAAAAAAATTGATATTTCCGAGTTAAAACAAAAATATTGGTATAGATGGCGCCGTAAACAATGGTATACATGGCGCTGTATGTCATTTAAAACAAGTCAACGAATTACCCACTAATTGGAAATCTCAAAACTGCACCGAATAAGTGGAGGTAGCGGTATACTGCTACCAGTACCAGTCAACGAATTACTAATTGGTATCTATGTAGTAGTTAAGCTACTTAGCGATAGATGGCGCTGACTTTTTTTACAAAACGTCTTAACGTTGTGTTTTTAAGTATTTTTCGCTTTTAAATTTCGATTCCTACCATTTTACATTAAATTGTGTATTTTATAGATTTGAGGTTGTTAAAGGTACCCATTCGGTGCACGTTTCGACTCATTTATTTGCTGTTTTATAAGTCAACGAATTACTAACTGGAATCTATGTAGTAGTTACGCTACTTAGCGATAGATGGCGCTGGCTTTAGAGCAAACGTCTTAACGTTGTGTTTTTAGTATTTTTCGCTTTTAAATTTCGATTCCTACCATTTTCCATCAAATTGTGTATTTTATAGATTTGAGGTTGGTAAAGGTACCTATTCGGTGCACGTGTCGACTCATTTATTTGCTGTTTTATATACAAGTCAAAGAATTACTAATTGGTATCTATGTAGTAGTTACGCTACTTAGCGATAGATGGCGCTGGCTTTTGATACAAAACGTCTTAACGTTGTGTTTTTAGTATTTTTAGCTTTTAAATTTCGATTCCTATCATTATACATTAAATTGTGTGTTTTATAGATTTGAGGTTGTTAAAGGTACCTTTTCGGTGCACGTGTCGACTCATTTATTTGCTGTTTTATATATAAGTCAAAGAATTACTAATTGGTATCTATGTAGTAGTTACGCTACTTAGCGATAGATGGCGCTGGCTTTTGACAAAACGTCTTAATGTTGTGTTTTTAAGTATTTTTCGCTTTTAAGTTTCGATTCCTATCATTATACATTAAATTGTGTGTGTATAGATTTGAGGTTGTTAAAGGTACCTATTCGGTGCACGTTTCGACTCATTTATTTACTGTTTTATAAGTCAACGAATTACTCATTAGTATCTATGTAGTAGTTACGCTACTTAGCAATAGATGGCGATGGGTTTTTTATCAAAACGTGGAAAGGTTTTTTAAATATTTTTCGCTTTTAACTCGTCGAGTACCGGTTTTATAGACACAATTAAAGAACAATAGGTCGCGGTCACCGGTGACCGCTTGGTGTTTGACAGTTTAAATTTCGATTCCTACCATTTTGCATTAAATTGTGTATTTTATAGATTTGAGGTTGTTAAAGGTACCTATTCGGTGCATGTTTTTCGACTCATTTATTTGCTGTTTTATAAGTCAACGAATTACTCATTAGTATCTATGTAGTAGTTACGCTACTTAGCGATAGATGGCGCTGGGTATTTTTATAAACTTGGTAACGTGTTTTTTTAGTATTTTTCGCTTTTAAATTTTAGTTCCTACTATTTTACATTTAAATTGTGTATTTTATAGATTTTAGGTTGTTAAAGGTACACGAAATCATAGCGACAATACTCACCAATTAGAAAAAATAAATTGTTGTTTCAACACTCGATACGTGGCGTTAGGTTAGACTACGTTAGATGGCACTATAATTTCGATACCGTCTAAAGTATAGGTAAGTTCCACAGAAATATTTATTATATCTGTGGTAGGTTCCGAGCTTCCGAAACAATTATATTTTGGTGTAAGTCGCTTCGTTCATTGTTTAAGTTGATTGATACAGTAGCTGTATATTAGTTAGATGAAGTCTTTTAAATTGAAATGGGAGGATGGTATTTGTGGCAATGCGAAAATAACTCCTTTTGTATATTGTTCTTTCACGCCTAAACAGCTGAACGGATTTTGAAGAAATTTGGTATGAAGGTAGTTTGAGTCGTGGAAAACAAGGCTTTACCGCGGTAGAACTTCTCATTCCCACGGAAAAATCTAAAAACGCGATATAACCAAATAACACGCGAGCGGAAAGCTATTTGTTTGTTTGCCTGTCTTAAACGGCAAAACGAAGGTAATAATTAACGTGATTTCTTAACTGAAGCTAGTTGAAGGGATTGATAGTCACATAGGCTACTTTTTAAAGATAAAGATAAAGATAAAGACATTTATTTGCGTAAAAACATGGTATACAAAGATGTTATTGTTACAATATAATAGATCATCATGTTTTGCTTAGTAAATAAAGCATGCAAATTTTAACTTGAAACTTATTTTAACTACTTAACTTACACTCGTAGATTATACATTATTATTTATGTTCAAAAAATTCCTTAATACTATAAAAATTATTTTCATTTAACCATACATATAATTTAATTTTAAAAAGTCTGAGGTTAAGTGTTTTTAGTGTTATCGGCAATTTATTAAATATTCGGACACACATACTTAGGCAGCTTTTATTATATTTTGTTAACTTAGGAAACTCCTCTAGTACTAGTCTGTGATGGTCGCGTCGACTTCTAGAACATACGTCTTCTGCCGTTTTGAACAGTTCTTTATGTTTACGTACGAATATACACACTTCATATAAGTACAATGAGGGTAGGGGTAGCAAACCAAGCTTTTTGAATATTGACCGACATGATACATCAGGTGGAATCCCATATAAGGCTCGTATACATCGTTTTTGTGCGATAAATGCTCTCTCTTGATCAGTACTATTTCCCCATGCAATTAAACCATATCGTAGTGATGATTCAATATACGCACGGTAGGACATGACCGCAGTTTTCATGCAAGTGACATTTTTGATTTGTTTGAGAGGGTAGACAAATTTATTTATTTTGTTGCAGACATGGTTGACGTGTTCTTTCCAGTCTAGATGTTCATCTATAAATACTCCTAAAAACTTGGTGTTGTTTGCTTGCGAAATTTTAGGTATATCCATTTTAAAATTAAATTTACTGTTATATGATTTATTGAATTGTACGTAAACTGATTTATTAAGATTGATGGATAGGTCATTATTATCGAGCCAGTTGATTATATTATCTATTGTGTTGTTTATATGTGTTTCGTGATCTTTAACGGAGTTACGTTTTTTATCATTAGTGACAATTATGGAAATATCGTCGGCAAAAAGAAAACATTTATTGTTAGTCACATCAACAATATTGTTTATGTAAAGTAAGAATAAAATCGGGCCCAATATACTACCTTGGGGTATGCCCCGCTTTATGCATTTATATTCTGATGGGTAATTGATCATATTCTGACTCTCATCAATTCTGGTGATAATGACCCTCTGTTTTCTATCAGATAAGTATGACAATATCCAGTGTAAAGGTGGTCCTCGGATTCCGATAACCTCTAATTTCTGCAACAATCTGTCGTGCGTAACTAGGTCGAATGCTTTCGATAAGTCAATAAATAAACCCGTTGTAAGCTGATTTTTGTTAACATTGGCTAATACTACTTTCAGAAGTGAAAATATAGCTAAAGTCGTGGATTTATGTTTTTGGAATCCGAATTGTTCCTTTCTTATAATGTTGTACTTCTCACAGTACGTGATTAACTTCTATACATACATTTCTCATAGATTTTTGATATAATGGGTATTAATGTTATAGGACGATAATTGGACAAGTCATATTTGTGCCCCTTTTTAAAAAGTGGTTTAACAATACACAGTTTTAACGCGTCAGGGAATAACCCCTGTGAAAAAGACAAATTAATTAAGAAAGTTAATATTTTGCTTATTTCATCAACGCATTTCTTTATTATTGTGGTGTTAAGTTCATCGTAACCTTCCGAGTTAGTGTTATTCAATGATAATATCTGTTCTTTTACTTCATTTTCAGACGTAGGTATTAGAAACATTGAGTTAGATGCTAGTTTTGTATTTCGACAGGTATTTGTGACGTTTTGTACTAGTGTGGTATTTATATTTATGAAGTGATCATTAAAGGCCGATGCAATTTCTGTGGGCTGTGTTAGTGTGGTAGTATCAGTTTTAATAATTTCAATATTGTGCTTGAGCTTAGCACTGTTTACCTCCTTTTGTATGACTGCCCATGTTGCCCTACACTTATTGTTATTATTGTTCATAAATTTTATATTAGCGTTCCGTTTGGCATTATAAATACATTTTTGTAATAATCTAGAATATAAGATATACATATTTTTATTGCTTAAATTTTTAAACTTGTAATATTGATGTCTTAAATAACGTTTAGTTCTAGAGCTTTGCCTAAGGCCTTTAGTTATCCATGTTTGTTTAATTTTATTGCTTATATTTATTTTAACTCTTATTTTTGGGAAACAGAGATTATAAAATAGACATATTTGTTCATGGAAATGATTAAACGCTGTATTTGCATTTGTGTCCATGTATACATCACACCAAGATAAGTTTTGTAGGCAATCTCTAAATTTACGTATATTATCTATACTATAATCCCTTTTGTAAATGAAGTATGATACAATATTTTTTGATAATTGAATCTTTAAAGGAAAGCTTAACATTTGTGCCGTTTCGTGATCAGAAAGGTTAAGTGGTAGAACACTTGCAATCGCGTCTGGTATGTTACTCAGGATGTGGTCTATACATGAATTTTTACGGGTGGGTACGTTGATATGAATTTTTATATTGTGGTTGTGAGCGATATCTTGAAAGTTTTGCGTGATTTTACCTTTTTTTAATGTGTTTATATTAAAATCCCCTAACAGAACGATATGAGTTTTAGATTTATATTTTTTGAATAGATCATGTAAAATACTATCCAACTTAGCTAGGAACTGATTAGGATCCGACTGGGGTGTTCTATATAAACAAATAATTACTAATTTTTCATTTACTAGTTCTATGCCACATATTTCGAATATTTTAGTAGTGGCGTGATTGTTTAAAAGTGATAGTTCCTTGAATTTTAGACCCCTTTTAACTAAAATACAGGTGCCACCTCGCTGGTGTTCCCTGCTGAAATTTGATGCCATTTTATACTCAGATAAGTTGAGAAAGTGTTCTTGACCTTTTTTTATAAATGTTTCTGATAGGCAAATTACATGTGGGTCATTCTGTATTTCTCGCATATCCTGTAATGTTAATTCCAATATTTCTTGTTTAGATAAAACACTCGCGATATTTTGATGAAGTATTCTGAAGTTATGCAATAAAGGTTGAGTTTTAGGGTCGAAAAAATGTGTTACCTTTAGTAGTGGAGGGAAAATAATATGGTATAGTACCTATTTTTATGTGTTTCTCTGTTGGCATACATATTTTGAATAGGATTAGGATTTTGAATAGGATGTCTGCAGTTACGATTTGTGAAATAGAAGGGAATGGTCCCTATTTTAGGTTTTAACGGCTCTGTTTTATGCAAAGAGCTTGTTTTGCTGCCCGCAAGGTGTTTCCTGATTTCAATTGGATTTAGATACTTCTTGCTATAATCCTCACAATCTATAATGTAGTTTATCTTTTTGCAAATGTTAGGTAAGTTATAATATTTACAATCAGCGAAATGACAATTTTTATAATATTTACAAATATTTCTGATGCGATAGTTTAGTTCATTGACATCTAGATGTTTACTTTTGACTACGTTTAGTACAATTATGCTACTGTTATAGAAAGTCTTCAATACAATTTTTAACTGAGATAATACGTGTTTTGTATTGTAATCATTTTCGCCTATACATAATACAATTTTGTCATTATAAGATAAGTTAGTGCTAGTACATTTATTTATTATTGTGTCGCTGAGGGCATTAGGCATTGTTTCTCCTATAATATCGTATTTTTCATACCTGGTAGCCTCTCTGGAACGAGTAAGGGCTGCGGCTAAGCCGACGCATTGTTGTGCACCAAATATTTTGATTGTATTTTGTGTGGAGTTTCCAATTTCTGCAGGGCACTGTCGTCCTATTGATGAGGTTTTAAGGGATTTCTCTAGAATCTGCATTTGAGTGTTGAGAGATTTTATTTCTTTTTCGGAGTTAATTAGTTCTCTCTGTAGGTAGGCGATTTTTTCGTACAAATGTTGATATGTTCTATTGGTACAGCAATTAACGTCCAGCGATTGTATCCCAGAGGTAGGTGTGGAGAAGATATCTTGACTGGCGATGCATTGTCTTTCCTTTTTATTATTGATGATGATAGGGCTGCTTTCTATCATTGTGGAAGAATTACATAGAGACTTTAGTATATTTATTTCTTGAGTTAATTTGTCGACTTGTATATTTAACTCATCATTTTGTAATGTTAAGCATTCCAATTCGTTTTCAGTACTTTCTAGCTTTGCGGTCAACTGGGATATTGTGTCTTGCATCTCATAATAGTCGTCTGAGCTAGGTAATAATAATTTGTTCGGGGTGGTGGTGTTAGTTTCGTATGAGGTGTCGTAATCACTGAGTATATGTGAATCCTGGTTAGGACTCAACAGTTTTCTCTTATTTCTGTGAATCTCAGTGTGTGATGATGATTGCTTTAGAGACTGCGCGGGCTTTTTCCTCACTGTTATGTTTGATATGTTATCGTCAGAAGTAGGAACTTTATTAGCCATTTTCTTCGTGCACATACTACAGCGCCATTTAATTTTAGATTCTTCGCTCTTTAGTCGATATGTTTGTAAGGGATAGCCATCGCAATCAGGTTCCATTCGGTTTTTACAAACAGAACACATAGCAGTTTGTTTTTCGTTCACAGATTTTTTGCATCTGTAGCAAGTTACTAGTACTGGCCTCTTGTGGGTGGTTTTGGTAATGCTTGGTCTGGTTGCCATTTTTGTCCACTAGATGTCGTTAGTAAACAATTAATAGTTATTTGAATTTAGTTTTTTTTTTTTTTTGAAATACTTGGTGTCGAAATTGTTAGAAAAGAAATGCACAAATAATTTTTAGAATTTACGAAAAGTGAATGTCGTTGTCACTGGGGTTCGAACCGGCTGCCACATAACCAATCGATAAGCAAAATATGTAGAAGCTTCAACCACTCTGCCATAGAAACATTAGAATACTTTGCGAAATTAGAGATCTGTTTATACTTTTTTTTTTTCAAATAACGATAATTAGGGGGTCAATGTCTTTTTTGTTTACGAAAAATTGAATTTTTGGCGGTTACTGTTTTATTCACTTTTTCACTTTTTGTTTATTGTTTGGTTTATCACATCTGTTTTTATGTTCTTTATTTTGTAGTATGGCACTTTGTGAGATGTATTTGAGTGTACAAAGTCAAAGTATTTATTGAAATTAGTCACTAAATTTTGAATCGGGCTTCAAAGTTTTACGTCTATAACTTCACAGTTTATGTATAAAACACTTTGAAAACACTGACACTTAGTTATTACACAGTTTTTTATTGTTTTATTCACTTTCACTAACTTTCTGGGCACTATTTCTATATTTATCCTTTTGTGACGCGAGCGAAGCCGCGGGTAAAAGGTAGTAATATAATACATGCAGTCTACAGCAACATACCTTTAGCTTTACCTTTTTTCTATTATCTACAACAGTTTAACACTATCCGGAAAATAGTCCTATGTACTATGGGAATGTACCAAAGATTGTCCATAAAGAGATACCGATTTGTCTTCCATTGCACTTAGATTAAAGTTGTCTAAAGGGTCTCTGCGCAGTTGGCTTCGGTCCCTCGTACGCCTCCCAAATTACCAGAATCCTGTGATGTAATGTCCAGACACATAATAATAACATATCTTTGTTTCAGACTTAGATCCCTAAAATTTTACAAAAAACTAGCGTTAACATGGTACTTAGTAGTACACATAAAAAAAACAAAACAAGGAAATGATATTTTAAATAAAAATATGCACATAGGTTAATTAAACAACATTCGATATTCAAAAACGACTCACTAACGCACACGTGAGTGCTTTGAGAGCGCAACGCAACTGTGAGGTAAAATGTGGCCAATTATCCACATTTTGATGTGCCACTTACTGAACGTTTATAACATATTTACACCTTTTTACTTATCATTGCATAACGTCTATAAAAAGTCTGGTGTACAGAACTGAGTCATTATTTCATGCTTTTTATCTAAGTTATATAGATATAAGATATAAGATCTAAGATTATCTTGACTATTATGAGGAAACCTAGGCTTATAATTTCTAATTATAAGTTTGTAATCGCCAACCCGCATTGAGCAATCGTGGTGATTAATGCTCAAACCTTCTCCATGTGAGAAGAGGCTTTGCTCAGCAGTGGGCGTTTATAGGCTGTTGATGATGATTCAAGTTATAAGTTCATTGTCATTATTATAAGATCAATTTGAAAGGGCCCATAAAAACAAGTTCGTTTAGAAACTTATACAATTTATTTGTGCTTCCTGCTATTTCTGCCGAAATGACTACGATAATATGTTATATTAAGTGTTTCAGAAAATGACACACCTGGTCGTTTTTACATTGTACTATAAACATCAATGTTTTAGAGTTGATCAAGTAAAAAAAATCATCATCATCATCATCAACAGCCTATAAATGCCCACTGCTGAGCAAAGCCTCTTCTCACACGGAGAAGGTTTGAGCAATAATCGCCACGCTTGCTCAATGCGGGTTGGCGATTACAAACTTATAATTAGAAATTGTAAGCCCAGGTTTCCTCACGATGTTTTCCTTCACCGTTTGTCAGTGGTGTCTAAATAATCTTAGAAAGTACATATAACTCGGAAAAAGTCACATTGGTACTTGCCGTTGGTAGGTTTCGAACCCGCACCCTCATGCATGAGAAGCAGGCGTCTTAAACCTCCGGGCCACCACCACATTTAAACCTCCGGGCCACCACCACATTATGATAATATGTATATTAAGTGTTTCAGAAAATGACAATCCTGGTTGTCACTCCACACCATCACGTCCCGTTCACAAATTTTACTATAAACATCAATTTTTTACAGTTGACCAAGGAAAAAATTTGATATTATTTTTATTTATAACTTCGATTTCTCCGCCAAAAACAGGTGCTATCACCCTATATGACGTCATTTCGACTTAAACAAAAGTAAATCTAGACTCAAACTGCAAGTTTTACGGGCGTAAAATCCTCTTTTTTAACCGACTGCCTAATAAAACTGGTCTTCCAGAGTTAATTTACTAAAAGGGAGTACCCAAATGCTAGCTAAACGATAATATGGCCGGATTTAGGGAAAGAATGGAAAATTCTGAGTATATTATGTACTAGAGTTTTACGGCACATAAAAGCGGGTATTGGGTGAATGTATGTGAGCAAAGGAACAATTTTGGATGCCATTTTTTTCCGTGTCTTTAGTGTTAATTAATTTTATCTTGATGTAGACTGTCGGTTATTGAGTGGACGCAAGCGCTGAGCTGAACAGGGGTTACAGAGCTCTTTTTTTATGGCATAAGCCGGTAAACGAGCAGACGGATCACCTGATGGTAAGCAATCGGCGTCGCCCATGCACACCTGGAACACCAGAGGCGTTACAAGTGCGTTACCGGCCTTTTGGGGATTACGAGTTTGAGGATTGTTGGGGATTCAGGGATTGGGGAGTTTGAGGAAGGGGAGGGTAATTGGGTCTCCGGTAATGTCACTCACACGACGAAACACAACGCAAGCGTTGCTTCACGTCGGTTTTCTGTGAGGCCGTGGTATTACCCCGGTCGAGCCGGTCCATTCGTGCCGAAGCATGGCTCTCCCACACTTATGTCTGTTCTGGAGTTTGGTAAATATTTTATTTTTGTTTATTTAACTCGTCCTGCACATTTGTTCAAAAGAGAAATTGAATCTTTTGGGTAATGTGGAAATAGTTATACTCATTTAATTATCTTAATAATTTAATGTGAAGCATAAGTTTTTCATTCATATTTAATACTAGTGTTTGACAGCGGCATTATCCATGTTCCCATGGGACATAAAGTAGCCAATATGTTTTTCTAGACTATATTTTTTTTTAAGTAGTATTGCTTTTAAGCCCACAGGAAATTTACCATCACAGTCAATACATAGACATATTATGAGTTAACAACTCCTAAGTTAAACTAATTTACGTACTGACATATGAAAACCTTATTTCGTCACCTAAATACATTAAAGTTACGTTATAATCAAGTGCACTGATCATTACCTAATACGAATAAAGTAGCCAATTTAAGGGTTTAGCGTGTGAATAATTGTAATTTGTATGTATTTATACGAATGTGTGAGAAAACTTGTAAAGTGCACTTAATTCGCTAGTGACACTAGTTTATCTACACTACAGAATGTTGTATATATGGTGACGGCAAAGTGAAATATCTCGATTACCAGCTCTTTTCTTCCCACGGGTATCGTAGGACGATTAAGCAACTGCACATTTGTCGTGGGGGCCCGGAGGTTTAAGACGCCGGCCTCGCATGCATGAGGGTGCGGGCTCAAAAACATCAAGTACCAATGTGACTTTTTCCGAATTATTTATATGTATTTTCTAAGATTATCTAGACACCACTGACAAACATCGTGAGGAAACCTGGATTTATAATTTCTAATTATAAATTTGTAACTTTCAACCCGCATCGAGCAAGCGTGGTGATTAATGCTCAAACTTCACCCTAAAATGCACTAAAACTAATAAAGAAAATGAAATAAAATAAACACACCCCGTACTCCGTACCAATATTTTCCATTCATACATAATTGCACATACACACAACAGTTATCTAGCATATTATTATGATCCAGGATAAAAGTAAGTGCACTCCAGCACTCAATATTCAATGCAAAACTAATTAAAATGCAAGAAACCATAGTCCCCTAGTGACAGTAAGAGCTTTACACCCACGGGTTTTTAAGAGGACTGCACACTGGTTCCTGTCCGATTAAGCACGTATTTTTTAAGGGGGGAAAATCATCGATTGACTTTTCCCGCCTGAGTGAGGCGGGAGGGAGTGTCAGACTCTTACTGACTAAAAACCACCCCGTTCCTACTCCTGCACTTCGAGCGGGAGCCTCGGTAACCCGTTAGGTTTTCCGCGGTTCCGTATCGACATCAGCCTTATTGGGCTCCATCCATATTGGTGGTCTGATGGCTCTTTAAGGCGCGTGCGGAACACGACGCGCCGTCTGGTACTGATCGGGCGAGCCACCCATGCTCGCCGTCCACAGGCCCGCGCTTACGGTGGCGGGAGATCTCCCGTGATCCTCGACGCCCGGAGTGTCAAACGGAGTGTTAAACACGTATACGGGATCTTTTGCTGAATCAAGAAACATTGTTGTTGAAAATAAGGACACCTTAACTTTTTATCAATATCCCAGATGATCGGTAAGCTGAAGTAACAGTAGTTACATTTGTCAAAGAACCGAAGACCGACCGGTAAACGAGTTCTGAAGTGGTGACCGCGTCAAGGTAAAGGTAGTGTAGGGCGCCCTCCAATAGATGGAGTGACGATAGCCGCAAGATGGCTGCGGTGCAAGCTCTGTGGTGTGCTATTGGCTCTCCAATGTATGCCTATATCCAGCAGTGGACGAAAACAAACTGATGATGAAGAACGCACTTGCAACTGTTCTGACGTTGCAGCTGTACATAGACAGCGCTGATCAACTAGCTATCAGGTGATCGGATCGGTCGGCACGTTTGCAAACGTATTTCATAAAAAATATTGTCGCAAAAACAAACATTGTGCAAGCTCCTTTACAATTCAATTTCTCTAGCTTTTACTGAGTTTTCTTCGACACTCGAGAACTAGGTACCTAATAGTACCTACAAGTAATAAATTAAAACCTGATGTTCACCTTTCAATTTGTTACACAACTGGGGAATTGGTTT